CATTCTGTTCCGCATGATCAGCTAACAAGGTGTCCCCGACCTCGTCCGGTGGCGTGATCCACGTGTACGCCGACAGCAGCTCAGAGAAGACCAGCGGCAGCTTCATCCCCTACTGCTCCATGGCTCAAGCACAGCTCTGTTTCCATGGACACCGTGATGCTGTCAAGTTCTTCGTCTCTGTTCCAGGTTAGTCAAGCGCTGTCAGTCCGAACCTGAGACTTCCTCTCTGTTTTTGTGCTCTGTTTTGAACAAAGTTTTAGTTCACTTTAATGAAAAGTTACCTTGCCTATTTCAACATGTTAACTGAAGAATTTTTTTGCCAGTTATTCCTGTCATTGGTGTTTACACATATGTACAGTGCAGGAAATGGAGGGCAGGTTTACATTTATATATACATTCACTCTTGATTTAGTAGGCAGGTCACCTTAAATGAAAAAATGTTTCCTCATAAATCTTTTCTAGAGACAGCACTAATAACACAATAAAGGTCGTTCAGCTTGTTTAGTAGCTCCAAAGGATTCTTGAGAAATATATTTTTTTCTTGATATTTTTAATTCAATAATTACAGCTGCATATGTAGTGACTGCTTATAAGAATCCCATTGACTTTTTGGCTCAACTTCCTGAATTCTGGAATTTGCTTCTTTTGGGACTAATCAAAATTTTGTGTGACATATCAGTACATTCAGTAGGCGACTGAAATAAAATAAGTACACTTATAAAAAGGGACAGGGCCACTTTTTGTGTATTTGTGTTTTGGCCAATGAATGGCAGCAAGATTCCTTACAAGAGTCATCACTGATTGATTTGTGCAAAAAAAATGCAGGCAGCTTCAAAATATCAGGAAGCATTGCCACATTACGGTATACTGACAGACATTTCCCTTTTCAGGCAATGTGTTGGCCACCCTGAATGGCAGTGTACTGGACAGCCCCACAGAGGACCCTAACTCATCAGCACCCCCAGAGGCTGATGATAAGGCTATTCACAATGCATTGGTGCTGAGTGGTGGAGAAGGCTACATTGATTTCCGTATAGGTCAGTATAAAACACCAACAACCAAATAGGTATTCGATTAATTTGATTTGTTTTATATTTTAATTGCATTGTAGATGTACATGATTATACAATTGTACAAAGTAAAAATGGTAAACAAAAATGTCAAAAATGCCGTAGGGGATGGAGAAGACGATGACACTGAAGAAGGCCCTGAAGAGGCCCCACAGATCAAGCCGGCACTGTCAAAGGCTGAGAGGAGTCACATCATTGTATGGCAGGTGTCTTANGATGACACTGAAGAAGGCCCTGAAGAGGCCCCACAGATCAAGCCGGCACTGTCAAAGGCTGAGAGGAGTCACATCATTGTATGGCAGGTGTCTTATGTACCCGAGTGACACCGGAATGGGCATATGGCCCCTCCCTCCCTGTGTCTAACCCCCACCTTGACATGCATGTCCTCTCCACTTCACTAAACCATAATCATCAGTTAACCCAACTGGCGAACCGCCAAACATAATACCCTATCTTCAAAAAATGAAGCTGCTGTGTCTTTCTGTACTGACACTATACAGCCTGTTCGCAGTCAGACAGCACACCACCTGACAGACTATACTGCCCCCTTGTGGCCAGTTGTAAACAGCTTGTGGGCCCCATCAGTTCTCCCAGCCTGGTAATGGAGAAGTAGCCGTCCTTCTTAGGCCACCCCGCTCTCAGGCCCGTTCCGGTTCACGTATGCCCAGAACAATTCATCACTCTCAAGCCAAGCAACTCTTAGAATTCCGCATGCGCAAAAGAGAATCAAATAAAGGAATAAAATGATCATGTAACACGTTGCCTTAGTACTGTTTTAATCCTGATGTGAATGCATTTCATGTATCCAGAATGAATAACACAACAGAAAATGCGGTAGACGTTATAACTATAAGAATGTTTGTCTTGGCACGACTTTATAATAGACAACAGCTGATGTCAATAAAAATGCTATTTGGGTTTTTGTTGTGTACATGTCTATGCATAAACAGTAAAATGTTGTAGAGGAAACAAATATAATGAAGATATTAAATGTTTAGATTTATAATACATTGACAATCATGAAACCTAGATCGTGCAGAAATATATGCATAGGACATTTTTTCCCAAACACGTTAAACAGCTAAACTTCACTTTGAAAACTTGTGAAACGGATAAAGATCATCTTTGACTGTTCTCTGCGCATGCGTCATCCCAGCCAGAAGGGGGCCGAGAGCAGCAGACCGGGGCCTGAGAAGGGCAGCTGCAGCCGTGTATTAATGTGTTAATGATGTAAAACTTCCCATAAGTAAAGTGGCAATGCTATTGCTACAGCTATAAGCTGTAAAGGCACTCCTACTTATCTGCATCCCTTCCACCCACCATGTATTAAACTCATCAAAAGTCTCTGTATGTAATAANTTGCTACAGCTATAAGCTGTAAAGGCACTCCTACTTATCTGCATCCCTTCCACCCACCATGTATTAAACTCATCAAAAGTCTCTGTATGTAATAAACAAATTCATGCAATTAATTAATTAAAATATCTTATATATCTTGAAAAATGCATCCAAAAAAAATCTCAAAATAAATTTTTCTAAATTTCTATGCTTTATGTTAAGCAAATTATGTTATGTTGAATGTCAATGAATGATATATAGCAAACATAGATCAAATATAAGGCAGTTCACTATCATACATCTTACACGAGCCATTAGTTATAAATCTTAGTCATAGAACTTTGTATCATCAAAATCCATTGTATTCTCGATACACTATAATTCTCATAAAAATTCAATTAGTCTGCTTAAAAGAAGTCTAACACCGATAAATAATAACTGCAGATGTAAATGCTGAAAAGAAAGGGGGCAAGGCAAAAAGACTGTCGTTTGTGAACTATGAAACGCTCGCACAACAATTAACGAACCAGATCCTATAAGGCACGTTAACTGGAATGTGTAACATCTGCAGAATGCAGCAACATTAAAAAAGGAGCCTCTCCCTCCTACTTATGCTGCCATAGCCATATCTGCCGGAGCATTGCACTTCATATTGCACTCATCTACCTTTTACCA